TTTTTCCCAAAAACAGATCTTTGAGAATCTTGACTTTATAAATATTACTTCCTGCTTTTGCATTATTAAAAAAAAAACTGGAGAAGGCTAAATAGAAGTAAATGAGCAGTGGGTTTTTTTTAAATAGATATTTCACAGCTGTAATTCTAGCTGGCTTTCAACACCATATTTAAAATTCAAATAGTCCCAGATTTGGGGAACTAGTCATGACCCCAGTTTTTTTGGTGCTGGGAAAAACAAAACAAATTCTGAAATAGCCCTAGAAGTTGAACAACAAGGGAGATCCTTTCAACGCCCTATCCTGGCTCAGTAATTAAAGTCATCGGCTTAATGTGTCATTCAAAGCTAGAGAAATTCTCATTTTGGTTTGTGGAAGCCAGAATTTAGAACCATGGTTTGTGGTAAGTTTCAAGCAGGCTGGCTGGGGAATTCTGGAAACTGAGGTCCACACATCTTCAAGGGGTCCAGTTTGGAAAACACCACCTTGAAATCTAGTTGCTGTGAACTGCATGTTGTAGCTTGCTCTGAAATTGGAAGGCACAATCAACCTTCTGTTAATTAAAGAACCACACACCACTTGGAGATGCAAAGATATTGGGACCTGCTGGTTTGTTATCCAGAACCTGGGGCATTTGGTTCTGTGGAGCCAGGCCATGAATCTAATAAGATTGCCAGTAGATACAATCCAAAAACAGATAAATAAATGCAAGGCTATCTGAGATCCAAATGAGACTCTTAAACTTCTCCTTTTACTTATCTGTCCTGTTCAGACATGTCCACGGGATGGGGTCAAAATAGGTCCAGGTGCCCACCACATTGAAGCTCTGCCTGTTTTTTACAGGCATCACGAAGCCCGTAAAAATGGCCAGAGCGTCCATCACACCCTTCTGGATGCCATCTTGAGTTTCTTAACTACATATCCTGAGGACACACCTGGATAATTTGATTCTTCCTGGCCAAGAGGACTGATCAATTACTTCCACCCAATTCAAAGAAAAAGAGCTAATTTCTTCCAAGAACAAATTGTCCAGCTAGAGAAACAGGCCTCCCTGGAAATAAACCACTGGTTTGTGTTTAGGGCTCTCTTTCATGTTTACCTCAGCCAAGTGGCCATTTCCTGTCTTTTATCAGTTGGGCATCACACATCTGGGCTAAAATAGCAGGCCAAATCCCTGCATTCGAGCAAACTTGATCCTGGTTTATGCTTGCTTGCTTTCAAGAAGAAAGACACAGAGTCAAAGGCATAATGAAATCTGGTGGAAGTTTGTTTGCAGACTGAATTCAAGGCGATGAATTGTTTGCAGACTGACTTCAGGGCAACTCCCATTAGGGCTTGCTCCTCTGCAAGCCCTTATGCAAAGCTTATCTTTGGTCAGTGAAAGTGACTCAAATCAGTGAGGCCGGTTAATTGGGATGCAAAACACACACACAACACACCCTCCGGGCTTTCATGAAAGCAAAACCCGACTGCTGTCAAAAGAACACGTCAGCCATTTTAAAACACGTGTGGTCCATGTTTTAAAATAGGCTCATCTGCTTTTTAAATCAGGATTGACTGTGCCCATGTCTTTACATTGGGAGAATTGTATCGTATGTGTGCACCAAACTCGGCTCTTTTCAAAATGTTGCCATGCGGTTCCCAGGCAGGTGGTTCTTGATAAACAGCTGCATTTACAGCGGTTTGCAACATCCCGGGGTCACGTGACTGTGTTTCACGACAGTTTTGCTGAAAAGTGCCACGTCTGATGTTTTCTGCAACACCACACGCAAAGCAAGCCAGGGGTTCCCTTAAGGACTTAAACAGCTGCCACAACAACCATTGTAAAACCGGGTTGATCATGTGAATAACCCGTTTTGCGACAGTCATGACATGCAACCATAATAGGCAGGCTCCATTACAGCCGTATTTTGAGGATTTACTTATATATTATTAACATGGAATGCAGTTTTTCAAAGTATGTATTAGATAAAAGTCAGCGTAAAAGTGTTACCTTGGAGGAAAAAGAAAAGAGGCTATATTTCAAAGAAATCTTCTCTATATATATATTCTAAATTGAGACTCTAAATTAGCCACTTAATTTTCTTTATAAAGGTACCTCTTGCTAGACTTCTGGAAATAAAGTATCACAGTTAATTCTTCTCCCTGGTTTGGGTAGAATAAAATTAAAACGTTTCTCTTATCAGAAACAGCAACCAACATTCAGTGCTATTAGGTCAAAAAAGCTGAAAATTCAAGTCGGGGTCTAAAAATTACCCGGGAAACTATAATCACATTCCCTGGAGTGATTACAATTTTGCATGAAACATTTTCCAGATGACCCAGCTGTTAGTTTGTTAGTTTTGATGTCTGTGCTGGACACCGAGAAATTGGTTATTAAGGCAGCAGACAATTTCTTACTTATAGCATTTTTTTTTTAACATGAAAAATATCAAGGAGACATTTTCCACCCAGATCCTTCATTTCAAGACACCAATATGGTCTGATCAACCACGAGTCCTAACCCCAATTGCAATGTGGAGCACACTGGGTGTGTTTGACTTTTAACAATTCTTGGTCTGCATGGCCCTTCTTACTATCATCCTAGGAAGAAGGAATTACAGGTGCTGAAATATGACATACTTAAAGGCTAAAGATGATAGTTGTGATGGACACAGAGCAAACACAATATGATAATATTCTGGACTGTACCACTTTTTCGGACTCGAGGGGGGATGCGTAGAATTTCAGATTGCATCCCGCCTAAGATGGAGACAGAGTGATGATACGTCCTTGGAAAGGAAGTCAAACAAAAGCTATCAACAACTGAGAAAGGACATAAAATAATTATTCCGTCCTGCAAGATAATTCTACTCAGAAAGCCTTCTGCTGCATTATCTACAGGAGGGTAAGGATTGTGTGGTTTTTTCCCTCCCTCCCTCCCACCCACCCACCCCCCAATTTCTTCCTGAAGTTATTCTATCCACCCTTCCACCTCAACCATTGCATTTATAGGTGAAACTCAACCCGTTGTCACTCTGAATGAGGCGATCAATCAAAACTGGTTCCAGAACAGCTTATCTCCACGGACCTTAGATAGACATTCTAGTTTTCACACCCTCGTCCACTTTAAAATGTATAGATCCACTTATTGATGGGAAAGGGGAAATCCAGGAAGGAAGCTTTGAAAATGCCAACTCAGCTCACCTACACAGTTTAACCCAGGGGTCTTCCTCAGGCTGGCTGAGGAATTCTGGGAGTTGAAGTCCACAAGTCTTAAAGTGGCCAAGTTTGAAGACCCTTGCTTTAACTTAATCTAGGGGGAAAAATAGCAACTTCATTCACCTCACAGCCTTTTTTCAGTCTTCAGCCTGGTTTTAGTCTTCCCTTAGTTAGTCTTACAATGGACAATGCACACAAGATAGAATTAGACTGAATTCCTGTGAAAGACCTTGGATGGAGAATTGATCTTTTTTTTTCCCCGTGAATGAAGGCCGATATAGAAAATATGATGTCCCAGGAGAATATCCCAGGATAAAGGATTTCTTTTCCTTTGACCTTTATTCTTAACATGCCATTACGCAGACTACTATGTCACGCTGATTTATTTACAGTTTATACAATTTGGGTCCGAGGTGTACGAATACTACACATTTAAAAAAATATTTGCATTCCATTTTTTAAAAAAAAAGAATGTACACAAAAAATAGGGGGGTCTAGGCCCCTTCTGCCATAATTACATTTTTTTATACAGTGCAGAATAAAATTTAAAATCGGTGTATCTTCTAAGCTCTATTCTCAGGCAAAAAACCCCACAACAAACTGACCTCCCCCCCCCAAAAAAAAGCATCCTTCATGTCTATAAAACACAAGGGCAATGGTGCCCTACAGCTGTTTGATATTTGCCATGATTACCTTAAACATACATACCCACGAACAGTCACACAGTCTTTCTCATCCATACCATTTCTACAGCAAATATTGTCGACACGTTAACCATTCTAATACTGCTCGCCAAGGCTGCTGTTGGGGTTTATTAAAAAAAAAGTTTGAATAAATAAGCGTCTGAGCCTTGTTAATCTTTTTTATTCCCATTTTTCAACCTTTATTTTCTCAAAGTGCTTTTCTTTTGTAATTTTGTACTGAATATTTAAAATAGGCTTGGTATAGCCAGAAGGAAAGTGAGTCTTAGAACATCAGGCACAAGGCCGTCCCGATCATTCCTTTGTGAGGCTGTGGTCTGCCTGAGGGCTTGTGTGTCTGGCTCAGACCTCACCAACCCTTCGGATAGAGAAAAAACGTTGGAAACGACACACACAATTTTGGAAGGAAGCCTTCAGCAGTTATTTGGGGATTCGTTTCTCCGTTGCTCTGAATGAGGGGTTCAAAGACATGGTGAGCGCATATATTTTCTCCTTAGTGCCAAGCAGGGGGTGGGGGGTGGGAGGGGGTGGCAGGGAGGAAAGCCGCAACAACAGGCCAACATTTGTCAAATGAAGAACTCTGGTCTCATGGGAGATTGTTCCTTGAGCCGTTCCTTTCTCGTAGGGTAGATTTGTGTCCCTCCACACCTAAAATTCATTCGCATCCAGACTCATTAAAAATGGAACATTACATGCTGGAATGGGGAGGGGGCAAGATATATCTTTGGAAAGAGATTGGATTTGGACCCTGGAAGAAGGATTCTGAAAGTGGTTGTCGGAAATGGGTGTAGCTCTCAGGGCTGGGGGGGCTTGGGGGTCCTCCCAAGTTGAAAGAAGTGATGCTGCGCGTTTTTGGGGCCCACCCCAAAAGGCACACCAAAGACATCACTCTTCCACCTTTGCCGAAAGAAAGACGGACAGTTCCTTCCATTGGCGTCTTGAATATTTATATACCTCATGAACAGCTAACAGACTAACTTCTGGGGAGGTCTTAGGGCTCCCAATGAAGAAGGGCAGCAGGAAGTCCTACGTAGTTTTCGCGCGGATATCCTCGTGATTCTCTCTTCCCCCAGGAAAGCTGGACTCCCCCAGCCTCATTG